GAAAGATACAGTAAAGAGATAAATATAATGATAAAAAATGTGATGGGGAGCCAAGAGATGGAGTTCTAAGAAAAATTAAAGAGAAATGGAGTAAATGTAAACAAAAAATGAGCTACAGTTTTTATCTTTTGAGTCAAAACATTTATAAGTATAGAGAACTAAATAAAGGAAAATTTGGGATAAAAAAAGATATAGTAATAGTTAAAATGCAAGATTGACTAGGATAAAATAGCAATAAGAGAAGAATAAAGGGGAAAAGATTAATAATGTACAAATTATTAATATATTGGGAGTTAATGTGATGTTGGATGTGGAGTAGAAATAAATCTATATATATATAATGCTACTCTACGCATTAAATAAGGTATGCATTTGTCTATATTTAATATATATTTAATATATAACATAATAATAGTAATATAATAATATTTATTTATTACTTATTTTATAATATTATATATAATTATTCATGAATAAACGATTCATTTTTTTTCTTTGAAGTTATATCATTCTGAATCAAATTATTATTTTTGTTGGGTTTTATGTTCATTCGCAATAATAAAATTATGAGTTATAACTATTGTTGTAATTGTTTTAAAAATTAATAATATGGCGGTCATAAATCTATCTATTTATCTATCTATATATATATATATGAAATCCTATCCTATGCCTTAAATATCGTCTGCATTTAACTATTTAAAAATTACATAATAAATTACTTGAAAATAAAAAAATACAAAGGGTGAAATTCACATTAATAAATAATTGGGGAAGTTCCATTTTACCTTATAATGCATTGATTATCCCTAAATATTATCATTTTTATTTTAATTTTAAAAGACAAATATGGATTTTATCATAAAAATAAAATATTACATTAATTAAATACTAAATGGTTTTTCTCCATGTTCTTCCATCTTCCTACTTAATTATATATAAACCCTCACCTTTTTTTTAGACCAATATATCATATTCTCCTCTTTATCTCTTAATTTCTTTTTGCTAACGTAGTGAGTTCTAAACATTATTTCTCTTTTTGTTTCCTATTTCATATCATAACTAAATATAATATTATATTTTTATTTTATTTGTCTTTTTTTCTCTTTATCCAAAATATGTATATTGTTGTGTAAACTATTTTTCTTATTAGTCTTATTATTCCTTTTTTATGTATTTTTAATAAAATATATGATGATTGTTCTTTTAAAAGAATTTT